TCCCATCATCTCCTCCATCCCATCATCTCCTTATCCCATCTCCATCTCCTTCATCCCATCTCCATCATCGCACCCCCACCTCCTCCCCCCCATCTCCTTGTGGTCCCTCACCCCGTATCTTCATGCCATGGGGGTTCCTCTCCACGCCCCCCACCAGCAGCAGCAGCAAAGCCTTCTTCACATCCTCATGCCCATAGATCTCCGGGGCGATGGACGCCGCCAGCTTCTCATAGAAGTCCTCTTCTACCAAAGCAACCCCCAGGGGGTGACCTCAGGAAGCTTCCATGGGGCTGCCCCATAGCTGGGTCCCACCACGTTGTCCTCTTACGTGTGATCTGCTGAAGCTCCTCCTCGGTCAGGTCCCCAGCACCCAACTCATCCTCTTCACTCTTGTTCATCTTCACTATGTGGTGGGCTTCAAGGTAGGTCTCGGAGAGCAAACCCTATGGGGTGGTGGGTTATGGGGTGACCACTGGGTGCTCATTGGGTGGCCATGGGGTGACCATTGATTAGCCATTGGTTGGCCATAGGGTGACCATCAGTTGGCAAAAGGATGACCATTGGGTGACCATTGGATGACCATGGTGTGTCCATGGGGTGACCACTGGGTGCCCATTGGTTGACCACGGGGTGCCCATTGGGTGCCCACTGGGTGGCCACTAGATGCCCATTGAGTGACCATGGGGTGACCATTGGATGGCCATTGGATGACCATGGTCCCCGTTGGTGTACCATTGGATGACCATTGGGTGGCCACTAGGTGCCCATTGAGTGACCATTGGGTGACCATAGGATGGCCATTGGGTGACCATTGGGTGACCATTGGGTGCAAATTGGATGACCATTGGATGGCCATTGGATGACCACTGGGTGCCCATGGGATGACCATTGGGTGCCCATTGGTTGACCATTGGATGACCATTGGGTGGCCACTAGGTGCCCATTGAGTGACCATGGGGTGACCATTGGATGCCCATGGGATGACCATTGATTGCCCATTGGGTGCAAATTGGATGACCATTGGATGGCCATTGGATGACCACTGGGTGCCCATGGGATGACCATTGGGTGCCCATTGGTTGACCATTGGGTGCCCATTGGGTGCCCATGGGGTGCCGGCCATGGGGTGCCCACGGGGCTGGCACTGACCTGGGCCACTTGGCGGAAGCCACTCTTGAGGAGCGGGAGGAAGACACCGGTGACGCTGACGTGGTCTCCAGGCTGGGCCAGGCGCGTGTTGTCCCCATGGACGGCCACCGTGATGGAGCGGGGAAGGTGGCCCACGGGGACCTGGTCCGTCTGGAGGGGAGCCACAGGGAATGAGGGTGGATGAAGGGATGGGGTGAGGCTGGACACGGAGATGGGGTGAGGTTGGATATAGAGATGGGATGAGGTTGGATATAGAGATGGGATGAGGTTGGATATAGAGATGGGATGAGGTTGGACGTGGAGATGGGATGAGGTTGGACATAGAAATGGGATGAGGTTGGACATAGATGGGATGAGGTTGGACATACAGATGGGATTGGGTTGGACAAAGACATGGGATGAGGTTGGACATAGACATGGGATGAGGTTGGATATAGACATGGGATGAGGTTGGACATGGAGATGGGATGAGGTTGGACATGGAAATGGGATGAGGTTGGACATGGAGATGAGAAGAGCTTGGACATGGAGATGGGAAGAGCTTGGACATGGAGATGGGTCATAATAGGACACGGAGATGGAAAACAATGGGATAAAGAGATGGGGACGATGGGATGAGGTTGGACATGGACATGAGGAACAATGGGATGAGATGGGGGACAATGGAATAGGTTGGACATGGGGATGGAGACAATGGGGTGAGGTTGGACATGGGGGACAATGGGATGAGGATACAGGATGAGGTGGGATGTGAAGATGAGATGAGGTTGGACGTGGGGATGGGGACAATGGGCTAAGCTTGGACACGAGGCTGGAGAACACCAGGATGAGGTTGAACCTGCACCTCCCCCACATCCAACCCCTCCATGGGGCTGTCCGAGGACGCCCATGGGTCAAACCCATCCTATGGGGCGGGGTGGGTTCCTCTGCCCCCCAACTCACGTGTTCCTGCATCTTGAGCTCCTGGTACTTGATGAACTTGGAGCCCCGCGTCTGGAGGTAGAGGCGTCCACCAGCACGTTCCATGCGACATTCCCGGCTCGGACACAGCAGCAGCGGCGTGAAGGTGGGAGCTTGGATCTAGGGATGGGGACGAGCCCCATAAGCGATGGTGGGACCCCATAAGGATGTCGAGGGGCGCTCGGGGGGCACGTACGGGTTGGTAGGTCTCGGCGCCGCATTGGTCGCACGTGTAGGTGGCCACCACCATCATGGGCTTGACCTCGGTGACGCGGGTGACGATGCCGGCCACGGTCACCAGCTTCCCAATGGAGTCGGCCTTGACATCCCGGATGACAAGGGGCTTGGAGGTGGAAGGGGGCTGGAAGTAGAGCTCGCTGTGGGGGGAGATGGAGATGGAGACGTGGGATGGGGTTGGACGTGGAGATGGGACGATGGGATGAGGTTGGGCAACAGGACGTGGAGATGGGGACGTGGGATGGGGTTGGGAGATGGAGACACTGGGATGAGGTTGGGAGATGGGGACAATGGGATGAGGTGGGACAACAGGATGTGGAGATGGGGACGATGGGATGAGGTGGGACAACAGGACGTGGAGATGGGGACAATGGGATGAGGTGGGACGTGGAGATGGGGACGATGGGATGAGGTTGGGCAACAGGACGTGGAGATGGAGACGTGGGATGAGGTTGGGAGATGGAGACATTGGGATGAGGTGGGACATGGAGATGGGACAATGGGATGAGGTTGGGAGATGGAGACATTGGGATGAGGTGGGACGTGGAGATTGGGACAATGGGATGAGGTGGGACATGGAGATGGGACGAGGCTGGATGTGGACACAGGGATGGGGGGCAATGGGATGTGGAGGGACATGGAGATGGGATGAGGGTGGAGGTGGGAATGGGAGGCAACAGGGTGAGGACAATGGGATGAGGTTGGAGGTGGGGAACAACAGGACGTGGAGGACGATGGGATGAGGGTGGACACACAGATGGGGTCCACGGGCACAGGTTGGACCCTGGGTGCCCCCATGGGTGTCCCTGCCCCCCCCATAGCACCCCCTGTGGGTCACCCCATGGTGCCCCCATCACTCACAAGCGTCGCAGCAGCTCGGGGGGATACTGGTTCTGGGGGTCCCGGGGCTCCCCCTTGGCCCGGCCCCGCTGCTCCAGCAGCACCCGGTGCTCCAGGTACACGTCCAGCACGTCCCGCGGGGGCACCTGCGGGCAATGGGTGCTCAATGGGTGCCAATGGGTGTCAATGGGGTCAATGGGTCTGGTCACTGGGTGCCAATGGGGTGTCACTGGGAGTATCAGTGGGTGCCAATGGATGGGTCCCTGGTTGGTCATTAGGGTTCAATGGGCACCAACCAGCATCAATGGCAGCGAATAGGTGCCAGTGAGGTCACTCCTGGTCCAGGTGGAGGGGCAGCAGCTCCTCCACGAAGAGGCTCCAGTAGCACCAGACATTGTGAATGGAGAGGTCAATGGGGGGCATCAACTTGGGGGTCAGGATGGTCAATGGGCATCTATAGGTGTCAGTGGCGGTCAATGGGTATCAATGCATATCAATGGGCATCAGTAGATATCAATGGCAGTCAATGGGTATCAATAAATATCAGTAGATACCAATAGGCATCAAGAGGTATCATTGGCAGTCAATGGGTATTAATAGATATCAATAGGCATCAATGGGTATCAGTAGATATCAATGGATGCCAATAGCAGTCAATGGGTATCAATTGGTACCAATGGCACTCAATGGGTATCAATAGCAATCAATGGGTATCAGTGGGTATCAATGTGTATCATTGATATCAATGATACAGTAGATATCAGTAGGCATCAATATATACCAATGGCAGTCAATGGGTATCAATAAGTATCAGTAGGTATCAATAGGCATCAATAGATATCAACAGCAGTCCATGGGTATCTATAGATATCAATGGGTATCAATACATATCAATGCAACCAATGGGTATCAATGATATCAAGGGGTATCAAAAGATATTAATGGGTATCAATGGGTACCAATGATATCAGTGGCATCAATAGATATCAATGGCAGCCAATGGGTATCAATGATATATGGATGCCAATAGCAGTCAATGGGTATCAATTGGTACCAATGGCACTCAATGGGTATCAATAGCAATCAATGGGTATCAGTGGGTATCAATGTGTATCATTGATATCAATGATACAGTAGATATCAGTAGGCATCAATATATACCAATGGCAGTCAATGGGTATCAATAAGTATCAGTAGGTATCAATAGGCATCAATAGATATCAACAGCAGTCCATGGGTATCTATAGATATCAATGGGTATCAATACATATCAATGCAACCAATGAGTATCAATGATATCAAGGGGTATCAAAAGATATTAATGGGTATCAATGGGTACCAATGATATCAGTGGCATCAATAGATATCAATGGCAGCCAATGGGTATCAATGATATCAATGGGTATCAATAGATATCAATATCAGTGAGCACCAATAGATATCAATGGCAGCCAATAGGTAGCAGTAAGTATCAGTAGATATCAATAAGCATCAACAGGTATCAATGGGTATCCATAGGTGCCAATGGGTATCAATGGGTGCCCATGGATGTCAATGGGTCTCAATATGTATCAATGAGGTCTCAATAGGTATCAATGGGTATCAATGAGCATCAATGGGTATCAATGGGTGCCCATGGATGTCAATGGGTCTCAATATGTATCAATGAGGTCTCAATAGGTATCAATGGGTATCAATGAGCATCAATGGGTATCAATGGGTGCCCATGGATGTCAATGGGTCTCAATATGTATCAATGAGGTCTCAATAGGTATCAATGGGTATCAATGAGCATCAATGGGTATCAATGGGTGCCCATGGATGTCAATGGGGGGGTCAGTGTGG